TTTCCCTAATGCATAGCCCAATGTTTGATTTAAAAAGCAATCATATAAGAAATTATTTGTTGGATGAATGAATGAATGAAACAATAGAAACCACAACATTCATGTTGTTGTTGTTATGTGCTGTTGAGTCGGACCCGACTCATAGTGACCCTTCCTTGGGTTTCCGAGGCAGTTATCACTATGGAAGTAGATTGCCCCATCTTCCTTCTGAGGAGTGGCTGGTGGATCTGTACTGGCAGCCTTCTGATTAGCAGTCAAGTGCCTTAGGCACTATGCACCAGAGCTCCATACAATACTCATAAGGTTGCCTTACTCTCACCCGGTACCAACTCAAGTAACTACCTCCAGTGTAAAAAACCAAAATTCCAAAAGTTGAATATTTTCAAAAATATACGTAAATTTGGGGGCACTTATAAGAAACCAATCTATTTTTTCCCCACAAAACTATAAAGTTTAGAAAGCAGAATTCAGTATGAACAGCCCTGTTTTGTTTTTAGATTGGTGGGGCAGGAATGGAATGTTACACTGTTTCTTTTTGACCAAGGATAATCTGATCTTGCAAAGATAGTTCCCAAAGTCAATAACAACTCCTACTGGGAAGACAAATTGTCTCTGAATTGGATTAAGGTGAAATGAGAGTGCTGCCTCAATGTAGCTGTGTCACTAAGGAGCTAGTTGTTTATAGCTTCATTACAACATTAAGTGAAGTATCTATGTTTCTTCTGGGTTTAATGAAGCCACAAACAACCAGCTTCTTATTTAGTGGTATTGGAGATTTTTTTGCTTTTAACTGGATGTAATTTAATTTGTGTTTAACTAGCTTTCCCACTATACCAGGTACACAGACTGGCACTTTAGAGACAATTAGTTAAGTGTTCCTTTGTGCTGGCTACCAGGTCTAGAAAAAAGAAAAGGAGAATCAATAAGATCAAGCCAGATTTAAAAAAAAAAAAAAAAAAAACAACCTCACTGCCCAGATCTGACTCATAGCAAAATTCACTCTCCATCAAGAACGCCGTCCAGCTCAAGTTGGTGGCTCTGAGAGGAAGCAGCTCAGCTCCTCTCCGTGCCTCCTTCAAGTGTAAGTGGTTCTGCTCCAGCTACTAAGTGATTTTGCTGTTTTTTTTGTTTGTTTGTTTTTTAGTTTTCAGGACTTTACCTTCTGTCTTTCTTCACCATCCTCATCGGCCTGGTGCTCTACTCTTCCACCTCCACGTACATAGCCCAGGACCCCCGAGTATACAAGCAGTTCCGCAATCCTTCGGGACCTGTTGTGGACTTAACAACGACAGCTCAGGTGGAGCCTTCAGTCACCTACACCAGCCTGGGCCAAGAGACGGAAGAGGAGCCCCATGTCCGCGTGGCCTAGGATGAGGCCCTCCCTGCCCACTGAGGACAGCTCAGTGGCCACATGTTCACCCATCATCTCTGTATTGTATATAGAGAAAGGTATTTAGTCGGTGCAGTTTACACAGGTGGACTGCAAGGTAGCAAAGCCGAAAGCCTGAAAAAGGAATAGGCTAAACATCACTGGAGATGCGGGCTCCAATCCACCTAACTTGGAGAGATGCCTATCTAGTGTGTATCCTGATCACAAACCCCCTGTATCAATTGCTATGAAAACTCTGGAACCGGAAGCCAGTTCTATTATTTGTATTATTGTAGTTAATGTTATTACACCAGTTTTCAGGAGGATGTTTTATACTCCTGAGGGGAACTATTGCCAGATCCACATGTAGTTAACATAACTGTCCCTTTTCTATGGCAAGGCATTTTTTAAGAATCATACTCCCCACCACCACCACCAAATAATCCTTGTAATGCATGCCACAAGGCCTCCACCCCGGAAGATTTTCCTTATCTAGGGACCTGGTGGTTAATGGTTTCCTCTGTTATTTGTTGGATTGCCTGCTCAATGTGTGTTTTGTGCTGTGACTCTTGTGGGGAGGGGCAACTGACCATATAATTCTCTATTCTACGAATAGATATAAAACAAACATTTTAGCCTTTTTATATTTCAATCTGTGATTACTCCAGGCCTTTGGTTTTCTGTTGTGCCATGAGATTCTGCTAATCAAGTCCCTGTAATAAAAGGATAAGGAGTATTCCATTTCTTTGGTTTATGGGAAACCCAAGAAATAATATACTATCATTTGTGTTTGTAGGGTAATTAAAAAAAAAAAAAAAATCTCTCTTTCCCACCCTATATCCTATGTTGTTGTTGTTGTTATGTGCCGTCGAGTCAGCCCTGACTCATAGCGACCCCTCCTTGGGTTTCCGAGGCAGTATCACTACGGAAGTAGGATT